CCGCCCGCCACGCTGACTGGAGGGTCCCGGTGGCCCTCAAATGCCTGCAGGGGCCGCTGCTAGACAGGTAACGGGGGTGAGGAGGGGGGCCGCCGGAAAGGGGCATCGCGAAGGGGGGCTGCCCTCCGTGGGGAAGGACTGAACTGAACCCGCCTTCACCCTAAACCAGGAAGGGGGTCTCACGCTGCCTCTTTGCCCGGGACACTCCGTGAGTGCGTCCCGTCGGTGGGTAAAGCGGCCACGGGTGGTGGAGCCCGGGCTCTGCCGGGCGTGGGTCGAGCTGCCATGGCGAAGGTGCTGGCGTGGGTTTCTCAGGTTGGTGGATCAGAGTGGGTGTCTTGTTGGGCAGCGCAGCTTTAAACCCAAGGGCAAAGGAGATCCCATGAAGACTGGTTCATCTTGAGCCATGAGAAAGCACGTACCAGCCCCGGAGCTTCCTCTCTTTCACCCATTGAAAATGGGTGGTTTCACTCTCAGCACATGCGACACTAAGCAGGTTGCCTCTTTTGAAGGTTTTTTCTTCTGCAATGTACACCTTGGTTCCTCCTCAAGGTGGGATTTGCACAGTTCAGCTTCTTTCTGGGTCTGTTGGTTGCCAGCCGTTCTGCTGAAGTATCAGTGGGTTATTAAAATACAGTGATTATTATAGATTTGTTGTCTACAGAAAGAGACAGAGAGAATATAAGGAATATATTATTGTATCCACTAGAGATTTCTTCTAGCTCCTAGAAGAAGCTTCTCCGAGACAATGCACAATTGATTTTTCCTGCCCCCCCCAGATCTCACAGTACTGAGAGAAGCTAATTTAAAATAATAGGCTCGTAGGCCCCCACGTACAACTGATGTTTTCCATTAGCTCTTCAACTTGTAGCATTTATGTTCCCTGTTTTCCTGGGGCCCAAGTGACAGCATGTTTATTGCAGGAGCTGTCACTCTATGTAAGGGTGCAGTAGGTAATAATTTTTCATCCATCTCTGCCTCATTCACTCTCTAGAGTGCTAATTTTTTATCATACCAATGCAAATTTGCCTCTTCTTGGGCTGTCTGAAGCTTGCCTGACTGTAAACCTGCCTCTTGTGTCTTACCTAGGTGTCTTTATTGCCTCAGGTTTCTTTGATCTGATTTTAGGCATTTAGGCAGAATAGCTTCACTCAAAATAACAAGGCTTCTACTTTTGTGACCCAGTATGCTGTAAGTTGTTTTAAGCTATCTCACCTCTTATTCCCCAGGTGTGTATACACAGGCTTTATCTCTGAAATCTTGCCAGAATGAAATGGAATCTCAGTTATGTTTTTAAGCAGGAATATTGTGTTCTCTGATAAGTTTATTGTTGGGGCTTTTTTCTTTAATTTAAATGTCTGCTTAAATCCCTGCTAATCAGAAATACAATGTTTACCCTCTGAGCTCAGTTGGAAGAAAACAACAAATATTATTTTTAGCCTTGCAAGAATTTAGATTAGTGTGCCATCTAACCCATGAAATTATGATGAAAAGGGCAACTGAGGTAATTAAAATAATTCAGCCACCTAACATATATCATGCAAAGCTTGGAAATGCTGTCAGAAGACCGAAACCTGTAAGAAATCTGTTATACCCGAGTCCCTGCAGCAAGTGATTTGTCAGTTGTATAGTAGGCAACACAAAATGCCGTTCTGTAAATGCTGTCAAGAAAAGGGAAGAGTTCACGGTGCAGTTAATTCCCCAAACAGGGAGCCTGCGCTGTGTATCCCAGAACTTGGTGTGTGATCAGCCAAACAGCAAAGCCAGTTTGGAAGCTATTGTGGGCTTGTACTAATTTAGGCATTACTCAATGCCCTTCTGGTATGGAGCAGACAAAGGTGAAGTGACTTACAGACACAGGAATAGACCGCGATATGTTGCAACTCGTTTCCCAGCTACAGCTGAATCCCATGCAGATGTGCCTCACAGTCTGGGAAAACCCCTAGCTTTCTCAAACCTAGTCTTTTCTGGAGAGAAGGAGGAAGGGAGGGAGTTGTGTCTTTTGTCCTATGCTTTTCTTGAAAGTTGCCTTTTTACTTTGATCAATTCTTAGAGTTTCCTGTAATAGAAGCCTTTTTCCATCGCATAGATAAGGACCAACAATTGCCCTTAATTTCACATCCATCTAAATTCAAAGTTTTCCTGTCGTAAAAGCAGCAGGCTTTAGTTTTCCAGGCTTCCTCTTTTCCCCATATACTCTGATGGCCTTTTCTTTGTGAGGGCTAGATCTACATCAATGGGTCCAGACTGACGTGAGCTCTGCAGTGTGTGCCCTGAGCTTGATGGACACAAGCCGGCTCTCATCCAGGAGCTATATAGCCACATTAACACGGCGCTGTGCTGAGCAAATTGTGATGGGCATAGCCCTGGCTTGTACATAGCCATGCCCCAGCACAGCTGTATTGCTTCTGAATCAGACTGGCTCACATCCAAAGGATCAGTCTTAGATGTGCTGTAAAAGTCCTGTATTTGGATATCCCAGTCACGTACTTGTACCTGTACCAGACTCTGCTGGTACAAAATCTAAATCTTTTTTTCTTAGAATTATCCTTCATGGTCCAAGTATCCTCACTGCCAACAAACCTATTTTTTTCAAGAACATTTGAGATATAAGGCATACCAAAAATTTATCGTTTTTAGGGATAGAAGCATACTCATTCTTAAATAAAACTTGAGCTTCTCAAATCCACATGCTGCAAGGTCTGAATTTGTAAAGATGCATCAAATTCACATTTATGAGAAGGTTTGATGTAACAGAGAGCATTCACACAGCCAAATTCAAGTGTCCGAACATCATGAGGCTGGTCCCTTCTTGCTTCCTGTGCAACCAGGGAATGTTTTTTCTGGAGGATGATTCAAAGCAGGGGCCCAATTTGAAGGAATAATTTATGTGAAAACAAAACATAGTTGGCCATTCCTTTTCCTTCAGAAACTTAAGGTCCATTCCTTTAACCCATATTATTTTAGTGCACGTCAGTGACCACTAAATTTAAATGGTTGGAGATTTGCGAATATTAAAATCTCCACTCTGTAGGAGATTAATATTTGGCCTCCATGAAAACTCAGGGTTTGAAGGTGGGCAGTAAAATAGGGCAAATGTAGTTGGTTGTTACCATTATGGCTACACAGGTCGGTGAAGAGTTCTGGCTGTATCCTTATTTATTGGAAACATGGATGAAACGTGATGGAAATAGAGAGATTTGTGTGGTACAACAAAACTGGGGAAGCTATCTTGTATTTGCATTTGCAGACTCACATTTGTCTTACAGTATCTTGTTATCAAAACAGTATAGTAGGAAACAAATGGTGAAAGGTGGTGGTACTGCACATAGGTACACAATTTTTTAAGAGACTATAGCAAACCCAACATTTGCTTTGAGTTTCCTAGTATTGGTATGGTAACCTTGTTTGTTTGTTTGTTTTCTTTTCTTTAAGTGATAGAAACCATCTTCTAAAAGAAGCAGAGATATTACACAAAGCCAGGTTTAGTTACATTCTGCCAATTTTGGGAATTTGCAACGAGCCTGAATTTCTGGGGTTAGTAACAGAATACATGACAAATGGGTCATTAAACCAGCTTTTACATGGGGTAAGTGTACTTGCAGTCTTTAAATACAATCCCTGGTTGTTTCAAATAGATCGTGATTTCCATACTTAAGGGAAGTAGTATAGTAAAGTGTATTATTAATAATATTTCAAATTAAAGGACAGTCATCATCACTAGTAGTTTTTGGTGCTCAGATAGACTTCTGTACCCCATAAAGACAACAGACCTCAGCAGACTTTAGTTTTATTACACTTTTTCCTTTATTGTTGTGACCTATAACTGGCTTCATGTTGAATTATTACATACAAGCACTTTAAAAATCTCTGTTATTCTCTAATTAGAAGCTGAAATACTTATGCTTACTTCAGCCTGGGTGTCAGAATTATTGCCAATGTAAATACTACACAAATATGAGGGTTTTTTCCTCAATCTGAATCTTTATTAAAAAAATTGAAGATTTTGACTGTAGTTTATAGAAGTCAAATATTGCTAATCTAAACAGATATGGATATTTCTACCAGATCTTACTCTCAGGAGTAAGTTCTCCTGTGCTGAACTCTCAGCTTCTGCCATTAGCTTGGTCTGAGCATCAAGTGGTGCTACTGTAAAGCTACTGCAGTTTGTGTCTCAACAGCACTGCAGTCTTGTCTGTACCTTTAATCAGTACATATCTCATGCCTTAGAGAGCTCAGCTGTGTGTTTTTCATAAAGGCATTTGTGTCAATGTAACTTTTAAGATTTCAGTTGAGTTTTACTGCCTTTTTCTTGGTGCATTAATATTTATAAAAGTAGTATTTTGTGCTTAGTTTCACCACAGCTTTTTTTTTTTCCCCAATGTCAGTTGAAGATACGATTCTTGCCTTCCTTTGTGTAGCACTTACAATCTGTGGGTTGCAAGTTTCATACAGGAGTTCATCTGTAAATCATATTTTCGTATGAATGAGTAATATAGTAAATGTCCTGCATCATGTATACCAGTATATAACACTGCATGATTAACATTTGTATATTTGTTTTAACAGCTAACCAGTCTTAATGCTCAGTTACAATTTTTTAAGGAGTTCATGTAATGTGTGTTTTAAAAGATTACTGCTTGTCCAAGTCACTTTCTTCTTATTATGAAAGTTAAGTCTTTGTGTTGTGCTGTTAGATCGGAACAGAGGATTATATTCTGGTTTTGTGGTTTTATCTTGGCAGAAAGATGTATATCCTGACATTCCCTGGTGCCTGAGATTCCGCATTCTTTATGAAATTGCATTGGGAGTAAACTATCTGCACAACTTGAATCCTCCATTGCTGCACCATGACTTGAAAACTCAGAATATTTTGCTGGATAATGAGTTTCATGTCAAGGTAGAGTTATTTACTTCTTATGTTCTTCAGCATCCATAATGAGTGAAAGTGTTTTAATTATTGTAGAGGAGGAAGAGTGAGGATGTGGCCATACAGAGGGGACGTAATTGTATACCAGATGTTTTCTTCTGTCCTTGCAGACAGAATTTATCAGCTTCTTTTGAAAACTCTGCTTTGCTCAAGTGTGGATTTGATCCATCTGAAAAGACCAGAAAGACAGAATTCAGGCTGTTAGTGCTATAGCAGTAGCTGATACTCAAAAGCAGTGACACTCTTATATGGCAACCTTCCAAGGGTAGCTGTGTCTGGCTCTTTCTGAGGAGAAAACAGAAAATGTTCCTGTCTGGGATGCTCAGACAAGTTAGTTCTGGAGGACAGTAGATCAAATTCAAATGTTAATACCCCATTTGATGTTTATCATGCAGTATGGACATGTATGTTCTGTTAGTACAGTATGAGAACATGTAAAACATAACTGCGAAATCTGAACATGTTGGAAGATGGCTTCTGTGAAGCTCATTAGAGCAAGCAAACATACATAGAGAAGTAATAGTAGTTTGAAACTTTAATTCTGCCTTTTAAAATATCATTGCCAGGATGTGAAAAAGAGACTAAAAGTACTTCTAACAAAATGGTTAGGTGCTTCCATAATTGCAAGAGTTGGGTGTTGTTTTTTTTAAAAGATCCTCTGGTTTTAAAATTGATAGAATATACTACTCAAGTAAATGAGAAATAAGAGATATTTTGCACTTAATTTATACTTGAATGGCGAATGCTTCAGTTATTACCATGAGGTGAATCTTTTTGTGAGTCCGCTGAGCAAAGATCAAAGATCCAGTGCTGATTTCTTCTTTCTCCATTGCAAAGACATTTTTCTTGGCAGCAAGGCGCCTTACGCAGCTTTGTCTCCGCTCACACCCTCAGCAGGTCATACCTCCTCCCACTCAGTTGTGCTGGTATTGCCATCTCAAGCTTCCTGATAAACCTGATTGGGGAACTGGTCCAAGTAATTTTTTTATCCACTCTTTTTTTAATCCCTAACAGCATTGGTGTGGTCTGGTGCTCTGCCTGACCACATCTAAACAGTTGCTTTCCTGGAGCAATTGAGGGGAAGAGGTTAACTCTTGCATACCTGCCCTGCCTCCTGCAAGGGGTCTTTGGAAGACAGTCCTTAGGGTTTTTAAGTGGGTTTTGGAGGTGAAGCAAGATTCTCTAAATTAGGACAGCTGTCAGGAAATGCAAGGAAGGTTATCATGCATGCCAAATAGAAGTAGTATTGCATATGTATAAAAGTAACACCATTCATAGAGTGCTTCTGACTGTCCCAGATCTACTGAATAAGCAAGATAACGCGACCAGTTACAGTAAGGAAGGCTTGATGAGAGTGAGTTGTAGAGAAGAAAAGATTATTTTTCACTGTGGATTTTGACTGTACACTCTCCAGAAAGCTTATTTCTGTTATCTTAGTTGCCACAGTGCTCGCACAGGCACCTTTCTTCAAAATGTTTTTCCTCTTATGCAAATGCTGGACAAGTGCAGAGCTCATAGCTGGCTGTTTATCTTTCTCCCTTGTATGCCAGGCACTCAGCAGCTCAGCCAGCAAACTTACTCTGCTGTCTGGTGGTCTCCCTACCCGTAACCTAGTCTGACATCTTGCTTCCCAGCTCATGGATGTCTGGGAATGTAAACTGAAGTCAATTAATTCTTTATGTAGATGTACTGTAAACTCTATAGGAAGGGACAAGGCCCCAGAGTGCAGAGTAAACAAAATATTCAGCAACTTTTTGCAGCACAGAATTTCAGAAAATCAGATTTATTAATTCAAGATTAATATTTCATAGTTTTGAGGGTGAGGTGGAGTGCCCTAAAATTATTCTGTGAGACCAACGGTCTTGGGATATCTGCAAGCTAAGTTACATGGAGCTGTTATAATTTATACTAAATTTGTGCTTTCTTCACAACCAGGGAGCTAGAAGTACTCAGTGGGGTTTTGTTTGCTTTTTTTAACCAAATAAAGTGATTTTCTTCATACAGGACAGACTCCCATAGCAGATTTTCCAACCAGAGAGTATGTGAGTCCTTCCTTAAAAGAACAACAGGATAGGGCAGTGCTATAGGGATAGCATGAGTCATGACCTGGGAATGCTTTCTGAACTGGAGCTGGTGTTTCCTGTTGCTAGGACAACCGTGTACTTTTTGTGTATCAGGTTAAGGACTTTTAGTGACCTGTTCTTTCGGGCGTATTTCAGGAATTTCTAACAAGGGTCAGCAGATAAATCCAGTTTTTCTTCTCAGAACAACTGATTTGTCCTTTCCAGATTGCAGATTTTGGCATGTCAAAATGGCGTGTCATATCCATGTCGCAATCACGAAGTGAAACCTCTTTGCCAGAAGGAGGGACGATTATTTACATGCCACCTGAAGATTACAATCCAAGTCAGAAAACCCGTGCAAGTGTAAAACACGATATCTACAGGTAACTCATGTTGTTCTCAAGTGGGCTTTGCAATCTGAATTCAAATTTGATTTACTGAACTTAGACTTTAACATATTTTCAGCAATTTTATTATTTTCAGAAGTGTCATAAGTGTATAAGCAAAATGAATCGAGGAAAATAGAATTGAGTGGTAGCTGGATTTGATCACCTATTTCTTTAGGAAACACTGTCACAAGTGTAATGCTCCAGAAATTAAGCTAGAACTACAGAAACAGACAGAGGAGACAGGTTTCTATAAATAAGTGTACACATAGAGACAATGTAGGGAGGGGAAAAACTGTTCACACCATTATCTCAATGCACATACCCTTGTAATTTGTGCACGTCAATTAACATAATTTGCAGAATGTACTTGGGGGAAAGAAGAAAACATATTTTTGGAAAGGGGTTAGGACAAAACAGGCTAGTGGGGTTGGAGGAAGTATTTAGAGAGATCTCCTTAAGGAATGACTTACTTTATGAAAGTTCAGGTAGATTTGCGTCAGTCAGTTCTGAGTAGTAGAAGTAATAGAATAGGAAGTAGTAGAGTGGTGGCAACCCATATAACAAAATGGCAATTGCTCTTAGGATATTAGAGTTACAATTAGCTAATCCGAAAAGGCTTGGAGAGCTCAACGATTACTTGAACAGTTGTGGAGGGAATTGTCATGTGTAAATGGAGATTGAGGAGGCATGAAGAGGTATACCACTGTGACAAAGTCCATCTCTCTGTTGCACTCTACCACCTTTACCTTCAGCTGTCTTTGACAGGGTTTTATTTTGGTGAGAGATGAATCAATCTCAGAGGGTCTTACTGACTTCCAGGGAGACCACTATTTCTCTTAATTATCCCTTACCCTTAAGGGGCACACAAAGTTCGTTGACATTCCTGTCCAAAGAATAGAGATGGTAACATACCTGCTTTCCTCACCCTTTGATGAGAAAATCTGGACTAGGAAGACATTGAAAAGGAATAATGTTATATTATGGGGAAAGAAGTAGTAGGTTGACATTTTCCCCTCTGCCTTCTGATTTTAGAGGATTTGAAAGTGTGGCTGGTGGCTTAATGAGTGAGTGGAGATGAGGAAGACAAATGTTTGTTAGAAAGAAGAAAACCAATGTGTGCAGAGGAATAACAACCCAATGGGAGAGAATAAGAGAGAAAAGATAGTGGAGATAGAGTAGAAGAGCTTAGAAAACTGATAAATTAGGAAGCAAAGAGATTATTTGAGGAAAGAGAAAAGAAACTGAGACAACATCATAAAGAGGGATGGCAGTTCAAGGCATGAAGACATGAAGGTAGAGAGAGGGTGAAGGAAATGACCACCAGAAAGGTCACACGGGAAGATCTGTGCTCAGAATCAGAAGGAGATGTTATGAAGCAGAAATAAGAAAGGAAAACACAAATAGTGTGAAGGGGAATCAGCAGGAAGTGGTATGCTGCAGTGTTGTAGAATTGAGAAAATAGTCTTTAATTGTAGAGAGATTCCAAACTGAATGAAAGGCTGGATGTCTGATTAATTGACCACAGCAGATACAGCTGAATGTTGTTGAGATAATTTGTGAGGAAGGATCTTTCTTAAAGAAACAAATCGTTTAAACAACAGTGAAGCAACATTAACTTTTGCAAAAGGAAAAATTTGCCATGCCAAAAAAATCAGCCTGCATGAATTTCTCAGGAACGCATCAACAGCAGGCTTTCTAACAGGGAGGACTGCTTTTATTAAAAGTTACTTGAATAAATTTTATCACTGATGAATGTTAAAATGTGAATGGAATAAGTAGTTAGGAAAGCTCAACTTATATGATTGATTTTAAGCATCAGTTACTTCATTCTTACTTAATTTTTTTGATTCTTCCTAATTGGTAGCTGTTAGATGATATAATGCTTAGAGGCAGTTAAATGTAACCTGTATGCAAAATTTGGTACTTCTTAGTGATATAGGAAAATACTGTCTTTGTGTACAGTTACTTGAGTAGTTGACCAACCATTTATTCTGATAAGTGTAATTCTTCTGTAGCAAAAAAAATAATTCTTTGCATAGTTTCATTTTTTTTGCTTCAGTGGAAATTGGATTTCAATTTTTTTGAAGTAACAAGGATATGTTTGACATTGGAAATTAGTTTCTTAAGCAGTGAAATATTTTTGCTCTCTCATTTTAGCTTTAAAACTACTAGATTTATTCCT